AAAAACTCGAAACACAGGTCAAACGAGGTCAAAACATACTTGGTATTGGTCAAGAAAGCCGAAAAATAGATAGAGCCTAGTCGAGTCTTAGGCTGAGCACAGTCGAAACATAATTAATTTTGGAAGAAAAAATTGAATATAGGTCATACCCAACCAGATTATTTTTGATCGAATTTTTTTACACATTTCAGATTGGAAACTGAGCAGAACAAAGTTAACTCCGAAAAAAATTGCATCAGAAATTTGCAATCAGCAAAAATCTTTCGAGTAGATTTGCTTGCGGCATAATTGAAAGTTTCTGAGAAAACAATTTTTTTTTAATTTAGGGGTTTCTGCGGCAAGAAAAATTAAGTTCCTCCAAAATTTCCTGAAATTTATGTTTTTAGATCAACTGTTTCAGACTAAATTTGTTGGAACTTTAAACACAAAGTGGATGATTAGTTTTTTAAAATTGGTTATCCGTGCAGGATATTCGCGCTATACTGACTTTTATAGTTTTTTTAGTGAGATCTCAGTTGAAATATGGGTCGAACACAGTCGAAACAAGGTCGAGCACAGTCAAGCCATAGGTATGGCACAGTAGAAAGAAGAAAGGGTCAGTCGAAGAAAGTGATCAATCATGTGAGCTCGGGTTTTCCTTTATCCTGACAAAATTTGGCTTTTCAGCTGGCCATTTGTGCCAAAGTACTTGACAATAGAAGTAGTATATGTTGGTGGGAGAGTTAGGGGGGGGGGGGGATGGGTGATGACCCCTATGTATTAACATAGGCTATAGAGTATCGGCAAAATCGAGCTCCGAAAATTCGGGCGCCGAGAAAATTTTGTGAAACTTACCATCTTACCATGGGAAACTATGAAACCTATATCTTTAATAAATGGGAAATTTATAGCCTATGTTAATACATAGCGTGCTGACCGGATACTCTATAGCCTATGTTAATACATGGGGGTCAGCACCCCCCACTCTCCCACCAACATATACTACTAACAGATCACACTCAAATTTAAGTTCACCTTTCTGTGATATAGAGAGTTGAGGTAGTCCTTACACGCCCAATTGTTAGTCACGCCGAGTGAAATGAATCTGAGATGGATCAAATAAGTCCATATTCTATGCGGTGTCGACCAGATTAATCTTTTCAAAATTTCGTTCGAGAATATCGATAAAATCGAAACTCACAAAAAAAATTGGTCGAGAAAGTCAGAGCAAACTAAAATTTGGTCTAAAATGTCGAAAGAAACCAAAAACTTGGTGTGTTTTCAGAAAGGATGGTGACTCTGGGGATATCAGAAAGGCGGTTTGCTCCTTTATTCATTGAAATTTTTTTATTTAGACGGAATGAAACTTCTAGTACATCTTAAATGAATTTCATAGCTTCAATAACGTCATTCATAAATTTTTATTGTTGGCATTGATGAAATAATAAAAAGGATGATTATGTTTGTTCGGTTGTTTACAATTGCTTATGTGTGCACAACACTTCGTCGCAAATTGTTGTTCGTATCCTCAAAAAAATATCTTTTGTAACAAAACCCTCGATTAAAAGTTAAACTCCTACATTAACTATTACAATTAGGTTAAGTTTATCGACCGGCTGATTAATGTTTTGACGTAAATAAAACAAGGCAATAACTGTATGAAGTTTTTGAGCTGATTTGATTCTGTACAATTTTGTACGTTTTTATTGCGAGTGAAATGTTTTAGGGCTCACGTCCAAAGAATCTAAAAATAACGTTGAACTTCTTTTGAGAGACTTTTTAAAATTTTTGAATTCTCCAAGCGTCCCCAAGTGGCACTCACTTCACGTCTACACTGATGCCTTCCGGTAATTTTATTTTTTCCTCATTTTGTGCCTTCAATTTTTCGTGTCCTTCGTCAGCCACACGTTTCGGTCTGTTAAATTGTTCTTGTTGAAACGAATTTCTGTAACCTGCTCTGGCATTTTAAAAAAGAAATGATAATTCTTTGTCTCGTAAAACCAGTGTACTTCAAAAGTTTTTTTTCTTTTTGCTAGCTTCAATTGTTGACCAAAAGATTTTTTTTAAAGGCAATTCAAAATTGCTTCTGCGTGCCCGAATGGTCGTTGTATATGCCTTCAATTCGTTATATATGCCTTCAATTGGATTCTTTGCTTGTTAAAAAGCGCGCAGTTAGCTTTTCGGTTCTTCAATTTTTGCAAATCAGTTAATTTAGGACTGAGTTTTTGAACTTTTTTGTATTGATCTTGAATTGAGTTGATCAATCTTAGAGCTTAATGAGATTTCATGAAAAAGCCCGTTTTTGCCGGTGAAGAATCGAAGTAGGGCGGACATCAAAAGTTTCTAAGGATTACCTAGGACACTGGTTCTTTGAGATTCTTACCAAATCTATTGGATCCCGCCAACGTCTGAAATGTCATTTACTTCGCATATACAGTGCTGATTTAAATTATCCGGACGAAACGAACAAAACTTGAATTTTCAAACGCGTTTTTCTCAAATTGGGTTAAGATTAGACAAAAATGAAGAGGACAAAAGTTGCTTAGAATTTCACCAGAATTAATATGGTGCCATTTTTTCTCCGAAATTCTCAACAAAAATTTTACCCCAAGAATGGGCCGTTTTGGCTTTTTTCAATTAATCAAGAATTACGCTGAAACTATTATGTCAATTGATATGAAAATAATATCACAGGAAGCCTCTTACGCAGCTCAACAAAGTTTTAGAAGGGTTCAATCTCTAAAAACCAGTATAAATGAAAAAGTTTTCACTTGATTGTCAATAAATGTGATTTTTACTAAACAAAACCCAAAATCTGTTTAAAAATAAACTTTAAACAATTTGCGCAAATTTTTGGAGGTTTAACCCTTCTTAAACTTTCTTGAGCTGCGTAAGGGGCTTCCTGTGATATAATTTTTTTATCAATTAACATAATAGTTTCAGCGTAATTCTTGATTAATTGAAAAAAGCAAAAATGACCCATTCTTGGGGTAAAATTTTTGTTGAGAATAATGGCACCATTTGTAGATAAATGGCACCATATTAATTCTGGTGAAATTCTAAGCAACTTTTGTCCTCTTCATTTTTGTCTAATCTTAACCCAATTTGAGAAAAACGCGTTTGAAAATTCAAGTTTTGTTCGTTTTGTTCGGATAATTTAAATCAGCACTGTACTTCAAAGCATTCGTTCATTAGAATCTTTTTGGCCCTGGTTTTTTAAATTAAAAGCTTTGTGTCTTTCCCCAGCCGCATTTTTTGTGTCAATTGTGATATGCAAAATTGAACTTTATTGATCTACTCTGGAAACACTGAAAACCAATAAATTGTTTCTTGTCCCAAAGAGCTAATGTGCTATTATGAATTGAGCACACTCCATCAATTTTTGTTCCGACTTCCTGCTCTGGCTTCAGAAAAACTTTGAACTTTTAACTATTCATTTTTGACGGAACTTTTCATTATCATTCAAAAGGTATTTTTGTCCTGAATTTGAAATTGAAAAAAAAATCTATTTTACTTGTGATCATTTTCTAGTAAATTTATTGGGGGTTACAGCGTAGGCGAAGATTAAATCAGTCTTGCCATGATTCGAAATTGGTTAAAGGAAGCTTAATTGCCCTAATTGATTTGTTAGTATCACAAAATTTTTTCTTTTTGTAGTTTATATTGCGTGTGGGGGTTGATTTTTCAAATTTTTTCTTTTCAATTTCAAATTTTTTCTTTTCATTTTATGTCACTGCTTTCAATATTTTCATGTTTGTACTTCTCAATAGACATTAAGAGGCGGTAGGAACATTCAAGAATCTGCCTTGATACGAGCAGTCTTGTTTCAGTTTGTTGAGGTGCAATCGTGGGAACAAGATAAGTATGTTAATCAGGCTGCTTACAATTGCTGTTGCGTGCGCAAAACATCGACAAAATTCGTTATCTGTATCTTCAAATATATGTTTTCTTGTTTCGTCTTATCCCGGATTGACGTCCATAGAAGAAAATGCTTAGCATACAGTTTCATATATGAAGTCTATGGAAAAAGTTCTTATCAAACAAATTTCATACAAAATTTAAAAAAAGTTTGTAAAATTTTTAATGAACATTTTTGGTCTACTTGCCTCTTTTGAAGCTTTCTGGTCATCAAAAAAATGATGTCAATTTTTTTTTGAAAAATGCTTATGATTCAATTTTTACTTATGAAAACTGTATGATATGCATTTTTTTCTTAAACAAAAACAAAAATTTGAGGTAAAAAATTTTTAATCCCATTTTTGGCTGCAAACCCTCTTTTGTGCTAAAATATAAGCTTTACGAAAAAAAAATTATGCATGCAAAATTTGACTTTTTGTGTTTATAACGTAGTCCAGGATAATTTTTTGACCCAAAAAATCCAAAAATTACAAGAAAATGTTTTTTTTTGTAAACACAATTATTATCTTTCGTTTCATTTGCTAAAATAAAAATAACATTTTAGAGAAACAGGCCTTTTTTTCTCAACCATCAAATTATCTAGCCATATTTAAAAAGTAACTTTTTTGCTATATAAATTTGTGCGAAAATGTTGAAATTAACTTTTATGGCTAAAATCACCAAATGCAGCTTATCTGTGTGATAACGTCAGTTACAATCTGGCAAAATCAGTTACATTATGGTACCAGTTACAGTCTTGCAATAAGTCGAAATTGGTTAAAGGAAGCTTATTTGCGCTAATTGGTTTGTTACTATGACTAAAATTTATCTTTTTGTAGTTTATATTGCGTGTGGGGATGATTTTTACAAAAAAAAACGTAAAACTCTCAATATTTTCTTTTCATTTTATGTTTCTGC